TTGTCAATCAAAACTATTTAATAAATATTATATTTTAATTGAAATTACAATGTTAAAATTTAACGTTTAAACAAGATTTATCAAACGTTTAAATTTTCATGTACAATTATAATTAAATAATATTCAAAAACCAATGTTTAGTTTTAAATGAAAATGTAATGTTTTTTAAATATTAATAAATATGTTTGATTAAATGTATAGAAAAAAGATTACTTAATGTTAAAATTACAATCTACTGGAAAGTTACAATTTAATGTTTGATAAAAATTTTATTCATACTTAATATTAAACGAACATTTAAAGTTTCTTAAATATTAATAATTAAGCTTGATGAAATGTACAAAAAAAAAAAATATTTTAAGTTAATATTACAACTTATGAATAAATTAAAAATTCATTGTTTTACATACATTTTATTCATATTTTAATTTTAAAATTTATTTTTAAATAAATATTTCAACTACCAGTTTTTATAAGATTTTAATCCCAACACTTATTATGAAACAAAAATGTAATAGTTTAAATTCAAAGTCAGTGGTTATTATAAATTTACTAATACGTAAACATAGTAGTTTTGAAATAATTTTTTTTTGTTAAATATTAGTTTTCATCAACAATAACTTCAGGACAAAAATAATAACTTATTTTAAGAAAATAATAATAGTTATTATTTTAATAAGTTGAAGGAAAATTTGAGTTTGGTGTAAATCTTGATATATGTGGGTATTTTTTGTAATTACATTGAGTTGTGAGAATGTAAACGTTGGCAGTTGGAATTACACAAATAATAAACTTGGATATATTGTTGTGTGTATTTAAAAATATCCACTTATTAGCTCGATATTGTTATCTTATTTTACTGTAATATTGTTGTTGCGTACGAGGCAGCTAGACCGTAGGACGACTAGTTGTGCACCGCACTAGAATGCCGTTTTACCTTAAGCATGTTTAATAAAACGTTAATATTGATGCGGAAGTGGGTCACCTAGGAGATGACGGCTAACTATACATCCAATAAGTAAACGAGAGTAGACAATAATTAAATAACAAATAATCGCATATATTAAAAATTCCTCAAAGAGTATCTTAAATTTAAGGGGTAACGGGGGGGCCCTTAAAATACTAGTGGCCGGCGAAGCGGCATAAAACAAATAGTTAATCTCAATTAAAACAAACAATAAATAGCATTAAAAATAATATAGAACTCAGCTGTATAGATGACGTTGTTGATGTTGATGAGTGGACTGTATGAGATCTTGTGGTAATGGTGTCGAACATCTGAGTATGACGAGTCAGAGTGTAAATCCAGGTACGTAATTGCAGATGAGAACAGACGGTGAAAGTGACTATGGCAATGAAAATATTTAGTGATGGTCAGGGCCCAATCACTGGTGGCGTGCAAGGGCACGTAAACTTTGAGCACAAGGGTGCAATAAGCAAATAAAGAATAACGGCGTACAATGGCCGAACAATTTTACTATTCAAGCGAAGGCGCTTGCAACAGAAAAAAAGTGACACGTAAAACAATCGACTGACTTACGACAATGTACTGTACATGGATGAAAAACGACACGGAGGTCATCGATTTGCTGTGATGGGTGGGCAAGGGGGTGAGTAAAGCAAGATGCTGGTGATCAGCTGTCCCACGAAATAATATAATCAATGATCTTTATAACAACTGGTCAACTAGATCCTTCTAAAGGCGTTCTGTACCATAAAATTGTAAAAGCAAGACTGTTAGTGTATACTACTTTTGGTGCGCTATTGTTTATATAATAACCACCATCATGCAAAATTCATCAAGGTACGTCGGACACTTGTTGTTAACCGAACACTTTTTGATGGTCCGAATAACCGTTACCGTTACCATTATCAAATGTATATAATTATTGAATTAAAGTTAATGATTGACTATTTAATTTGTGTAAGTGATCACTTATACAAAATATTAATAAATGTACATGTATTTAATATGTAACCCGGGTTATGTTAATACTATTGGCCAAACAGATTTAATTAAAAAAGAGTGAATTATATTTTAAAATGTTTTAATGTCTCATTATTCAATACTTAAATGTTATGAGCTAATAAATAAATGTAAATATTGTATCTATTACTTTTATAAACAAAAGTAATAGGGGTAATATTATAGTGTAGAAATATCTATTAGTGAAATTTCTATTCAGATTATATAGTTTAAAATTAAACATCGAAACTAAAAAAAAATATATAAGTATTTTATTAAAACATCAAACGCAATTCTAAATTAAATATTTATTCGTGATATTTTTAATATTAATTCAAGATTAATTTCAAAATGCGAAAAGGTTCACCAAATGATTGATATATACAGGGTGGCCCACCACTCACTGACAACTTAAATAACTTTTGAACCAGTTAATATTTTTAGTTGATTTTTTTTTTAAATAATAGTTATACGTTAGGTCTGTAGCTCTATCTCAATAATTAATTTTTTTACATTTTATTAAAAATATTAATTATTTTTAAATTTTAAATAAAATGTAAAAAAAAAATCTAAGATAGCTATTTTGTAGAGTAGAATTTAAGAAAAATTTTAGTAAAAAAATATCTTATTAATATTCAATAGTACATATTCTGTAGCGTTTTGAAGTTTGTGAAATTTTGAATTATCATGTATTATTTTACAGTATTAAACAATGAAATACGTATTGAGAAAAGGACAGAAGAAAACACTATCTTTTCAATATACAGTCGACTCTCGATAATTCAAACCTTCGATAATTCGAAACTTTCGATAATTCGAAGTAAATGTTCGGTCCCTAGAAAACCACGCGTTAATTCGAATAAAAACCATGCATTTAAGTACACTCGGTAATTCGAAATTTAATTTTAGGAAAAACAGTCACTAACACGTGACAATTCGAAGTATCATCCGTTCAACTCTCGGCAATTCGAAGTCATATTCACCACATTTATTTTATCTGTATTGTTTTATCTGTGTGTTTTGGTAACTATAGAATTATTATCGTAGGAATCTTATCGTTTTATTTCTTAACCGCCTCTTATTATAATTTAACTCGTCTATAGCCGTCAGTCGAATGTAGTTTTATTTTAGTTTCGTGTGGTCGGTTGTGATGAGTGATAAAGTGATGAGTGCGTCTAATTCAAAAAAAAAAAACAAATCATTGACGATTTCAAAAAAAAAAGAATTGATTGAAGCTGTTGAAAAAGGTGACAAAAAATCCGATGTAGCCAAGTCATTTGACATTCCTTTAAGTACCCTGTCTACAATTTTAAAGGATAAAAATAAAATCATTGCTACGTCATCGAGCGGTGGTAGGAAACGAAACAGTAAAGGTGAGCATCCAAGACTAGAAGAATGTTTAGTACAATGGGTTAGGCAATGTAGAGGACAAAATGTGCCCGTGAGTGGCCTCTTACTAAAAGAAAAAGCAAAATCATTCGCCAAAGAGTTGGGCATTCCGTTTTTCTCAGCTAGTGAAGGATGGTTAACGAATTTTAAGAAACGAAACGGTATTGTTTTTAAAAAAATTTGTGGTGAAAGTTCTAGTGTTGACGATAATGTGTGTTTAGAGTGGCATCGTAAACTTTCAACATTGTTAAAAAATTACGAGCCACGAAACGTGTTCAACACAGATGAAACCGCTTTATTTTTTAAATGTTTACCAGATAAGACTTTCACTTTTAAAGAGGAAAAATGCCACGGTGGGAAGTATAGTAAAGATAGGTTAACAATTTTACTAGCAGTAAACATGAACGGATCTGAAAAGTTAACTCCTCTCCTCATAGGAAAAGCTGCCAAACCTAGGTGTTTTAAGGGCATACGTACATTTCCTATAACTTATCGTTCAAACAAAAAGGCATGGATGACGACAGAATTATTTAATGAATGGTTGGTTTCACTCAATGAAGATATGAAAAAACAGAAACGTAAAATTTTACTGTTTTTAGACAACTGTACAGTTCATAATAACCCCCCACCTTTAACTAATATAGAGCTTCAATTTTTTCCTCCTAACACCACATCGAAGTTACAGCCACTTGACCAAGGTATAATTAAGAATTGTAAAACTTTTTACCGCCAAGAAGTTGTTAAGAATGTTTTAGAATGCATTGAAAGTAAACAGACGCCAAACATTAGTGTATTGACTGCTATGATATTTGTTGATAAGGCATGGAAAAAAGTGACTTCTTCTACGATACTCAAATGTTTTAATAAATCGGGATTTATCATAGATATTCAAGAAACAGAAAACGACCAGTTGAATATTGAACCAATACTATGGGATTCCCTGCCAACTCAAGAAAATGTATCTTTCNGAAGATAAAGTATTACTTACTGCCTTTGAAATTATATTTGGCAACTCTGCCACCACGGCCACCACGACCACCTCTCCCTCCTCTTCCACCACGTCCACCACGGCCTCCTCGATTTGCCCTCCCTCCACTACCACTTTCCATATTTCCATAGTAATTGTATATGTAATTGACCATTTTGCTTAAAAATTTTTTTTTAATTAATTAGAATTGTATACATATTAATGTTAATAAATAAATGTTCACTTACAAATTTATAATTGATATCTTCTTTTAGATTTGATATATATATTAACTTTGGATGCTCAAATCCAACTGAGGGTAGTGCTGTAGTTAACTAGAAAGCTAGTTCTCTATAATATTATCAATAGATCCCTACTCAAAATATTTAGCGTCGTCGAAAATTCGACGATAATCTATTTAAAGGCTTGATGCTTTTATCATCATTCATTGTAAGATATAGTTATAAGCTATTTATTTATGTAAATAGCTGTTTTGAAATATACCAATTTCAATTACTTTTATAGAATATTCATAAAATTATACATCTACAAATCGCTCTCAGTTTAAATTTTATTTATTAATTAGTAATAATAGGATGATTTCATATCATACAAATACTCCCTCTTTTACATATATTCGTATTTATTTATTTAATAAAATATTAATATTATTATTGTGTCCAATATTTATTAACTATGTAAAATAATTATTATTGACTTTCAAAAAAGATGCTAAAAGGCTCAGTATACTTTTTATTAAAATCATTCAGTGAAAACTGTTAAATGCAAAAGTATGATGATTAAAAAGAAAATTGATAATAGTTGGTTAATCAAGTAGTTTTTGCTTTAAAAACTTTAGAAGATCTCTCAAAATGTATCGTATCGTATAAAAGTCCCAAATACAATTATAGCTGAACATAATAAATAACTATCAAAGTTGTATTGATAAGTTTATCAAAAAAAATGATCGTAATATATGTTTTTGAGATCTCTGTATTCTAATTTTACAATAACTTTTCACTTTCGTCTTTTTTAGCGGGAGTGTTTTTTTTTCAATTTTAGTTATTTTATAGTGTTATATATTAAAATATATGTCATTGAGGTCCCTGAATTAAAAACTCGTATGCATTTTTCAATCCCTCTTTTTTAAATAGATACTAGTTTTTTTTCGATATAAGTCTATATTTAATTTTTTACATTATTATAAATTTTTCGACTGTCAAAAATTATTATAATAACATAAATATAGGTTTTACTCAAAACACATTCTTTTATTTAATTATATATTGTAAAAACAGTTTTTCACAATTTTAATTAATTTTAAAATACAAATTTTTAAATTTAAAGTATGCGTTACTGTGTGCTTTTCATTGAATTCAACAATTTGAATGGTTTCATGAAACTTATCTGTCCCAGGCATAATTTTTATAATCATTAATAATACATTTACTTTATCATCAGTACTGCTGATTTAATAGTGGGATATAATATTGGAGACAATGTGATTAATACGTATTAAAATACGCTCATGAGAATGTACAGTTAGTCTAATCAGACTGGTTTTACATTTTAAAAATATTTTTCTAATAGTATTAGAATAACAATATTATAATATTATATAATAGTATAACAATATTATTGCTTTAATATAACATTTAAATTGATATTTTTATTTATTATAATTAATATTACTATATATGTTTAAAATTTAGCATGGTCGTAATTTAAAGTGTGAATGTAATAGTATTGATCAAGGTTTGTAAGACGATGGCAATTTAAATGGAAATTTATTTCTTTTAGACCACATTCGATTATTTAATTAACTCACTGTATATATACATTCATAACAAATGTATTTATACATAAGGTAAACTATAATAAATTAATGAATATTTTACGGAAACACTACTAATCACTAGACAGTAATAATAAAATTAATTTTAAAATTAAACTATAAATTGCTTAATCTATTTTTTATGCAAAGAATTAAAATATTTTATTATTCATCAAGAGTATAATTGTGTTTCAAAATCATTTCAATTTTAGGTAAGTTGGGGAAAATTATTAATGAAATATTTGAAAGTGTACATATATATATATATGCTTTAAATAAAAAAAAAATATCAATCAAAATATCTTTTCCTTGAAAATAATTGTAGTTTTTCTACTGAGTTATATCTTTGAGGGTAGAATAAAATAGTAAAAATAAAGATAAATTAAATAAAATTACTCCTAGAATATCTTAAGATGTATATTTTTAAGATTAAACCATTGAAAATTTAATTNAAATGGGAGAAACCTCCAAAAAAATTACAAATTTAAAAATCGCTAATTTTCGAAATTTTTCAATTTTTTTACTTAAAACTGCCATAACTTTTTCAAAAATGAATATATCAATATAATTTTTTTTTATAGATGCTTGATACATTTACTTATCATTTGGTATATTATTTTTTATAAATCTGAACCTTTACCTGGCCACAGGGGGGGATTTAAAATGACAAATTTTTCACAAAAAAATAACTTTTTCAACTTAACTTTTGAAATGTTCCGAAAGTCTGATACTTTTATGTGTACCTTAAATTAAAGCTTATGTAATATATTTTATTTTGAAAAAAAAATTTCGGAATTTATTTTGTCTTCACAGTGAAAACAGACATAAAAGTTCATAAAAAAAAAAAATTCTTTTTTATATTTATAACTTTTTAATGCTATAACGTTTTGAAAAATGTATGGATCATTACAATTTTTTCATAAGAAGTAGTATTTATATACATCTTTCATTCGACATACTGTTTTTTTAAATCGGACCATTTCCCTTAATACAGGGGGGGTTCAAATCTAAAAAATGCATGTAGAAAGTAGAACTTTTTCAACTTAATTTTTGAAATTGTTCCGGAAAGTCTGACACTTTTATAAATATCTTAAATTAAAGCTAATGTAATGTACTTTATTATGCAAAAGAAAAATTTCAGACTTTATTTTGTCTTCAGGGTGAAAATGGCTACCAAATGCTATTTTTGTGTGAAAATTCACGATTTCATTTTTTACATTTTTAACTTTATAATGATATAACTTATTGAAAAGTGTATGGATCAATATAATTTTTTAATGAGAAATAATATTTTTTAATAATCCATTTTTCATTCGACATACTTTATCTTAATCAGGATATTATTAAGGAACTAGTAGATTATGTTGCTTTTGGAATAATCCACCAATTTTTTAAAATTAAACACTATCTAAAGATTTGCATCGAAGCGTTTTTTTTTTATAGTGATTTTAATCACTGTCAGATATCATAATACTTGATCCAACTATGCCACGTCACCACTGTGCCGCGACCCCCCCTGTGCTGGGTTTTTTAAAAGTAATAACAGTGTAAAATAAAAATTAAAAAATAATGTGTATAAAGAAAGTTTCAAATTAAATTTTTTTGGTGAAGGTTTGTGGTACATTTTTTTCATGATGAAAACGCCCAAATTTAAAAAATATTTTTTAAAAAGTTATACTAGCTTAATGTCAAAATAAATATTTTCAAAAAGTTGTTAAAAAAATTTACTGAATTGAATGTATTATAAAATTTGATTATAATTGTAAAAATCCATAGTGAAATTTTAATGAAATTAAAAATCATTTTTTTTAGAAATGATTTATATAGCAACATTTTGGCAAAAAATTTGCATTAATTTAGAATCGTTATAGAAAACAAATATAGAGTTGAAAAATTAATAAATTCAAACTAAATTTGACAATAAATGCATTGGAACTGAATGATTTTAATTGTCTATATGGAAAATAAAGGCTAAGTAACTTTTTAATTGATAAATTGGAAATTTTTTCAATTTTTAAGGGTAATGTCTTCGACTAGATACGATTTGTGATCTTTTGACGTATCATTGAAAGAAATCGGTTCTGTGAGAGATGAGAAAAGGTGGTAACAGACACAAAAAAAAAAACACATCTTGGTAAAATCAATACCTTCTCAGCTTCGCATCGAAGCTAAAAGTGTCCATGCCAATGCCGATATTATTTTTTACTTGTGTATAAGTGGTAACACGGCCAGTCATACAAAGTGATCCGGAAATCCTGTGGAAATAAGAAACACGGTACGGTAATAGAACTTACGACCCAAGGCATTGTAGAAACAAACCTTACCACTTGTCCATCGTCTTGGATCCCCATACACTTTCATATAGGTTGATAACGTGATGGGCGACTGAGGGAAACACGATACTGCGTCAGTTTGACTAAAAAGTAATTTTTTTTAACTTCTTTAATATTTGTTTAAAATGCTCTTTTCAAATTTAAAATAAATGATAGCACAGTGAGGTCGTGGCAGGGTGGGACGATTATAAGTGATATCTGACAGTGATTATAATCATTATCATAAAAAATCATTAGATAGTGTTTAATTTAAATAAATTGAAGGATAATCCCAAAAGCAAAATTAACTCATATTTTTTGTTCTATTCTACTGCCATTTGCACATAGAAAATAGGTCGTCGGTACAATTTTTTTTTTTAAACAATTAATAAGCTTTGTTTTAACCTATAATTAAAAGACGCAGTATTCCGTGACATTTTCAAAAGTCAAGTTTAAAAAGTTCTACTTTCTATACAAATGTTCAAGTTTTCTAAAAGTTTTGAAAAGGTAAAATAATCATAAGAAGTATAAATTTATATTTAATGTAAGTTATATTCATATAAATTTTATATTTATTGGTGGACTCGTTACTATGGCCAACTCTTGTAAGGTATTTCAAAATAAACAAACAAAACTAAAATTTTAACATAAAAATAGCATGTTTTTTAACTGTGGCAGCCGTTTGCACGTAGAAGATAAATCGTCGGAACAAATTTTTTTTTTATCTATAGTATGTAACATAAGCTTTAATTTGACATATATTTAAAGGTCGCAGTATTTCCTGGAACATATTCAAATGTTAATTTAATTAAAGCTGCTATTTTGAATCCCCTCTTGTGAGCGGGTAAAGAGTCAGATTTTCAAAAATATGATATCAAATAAAAGGAAAATATCTAAGGTTTCAATTTAAAAAAATTATTTGTTCATTTTTCAATAAGTTATGACAATTTTTAGAAAAAAAAAACTGAAAAAAATGTTGGAATTTACCGATTTTAAAAATTGTATTTTTTGGGAGGGATTTTCACCATTTACGGGGAACAAGGAAAATTTTTTTAATTTTTGAGGGTATTGTCTTTAACTAGATACGATTTGTGATTTTTTGACATATCGTTAAGAAAAATCGGTCCAGTGAGAGCTGAGAAAAAATAGTGACAGATAAAAAAAAAATAATAAACACATCATGGTAAAATTAATATTAGTGATGGGAAATGTCGAATAGTAACTATCGAACTATTCGATAGTCATTCAAAAATTATTCGAATAGTTTAGAAAATATTTCATAGTCTATTAGAATAGTTTTTAAAACTAATCGGTACCCCATTTGAATAGTTTTTAAAATATTTGATAGTTTATGCTAAAAATAAAATATTCTGTGGTATATACACAATTCGAATATTGTTAATATTATTAAGTTAATCGACAGTTTAAAATATTTGAAAATGTCCATCACTAATTTTTTTTATTATTAATTATATCCTATTTATAATCGTAATACCCCGAATAAACAGTTTTAAACAATCCTATTTAGATCGTTAGTGTTATTAAAACAGCAAAACTATAAATCTCATTATAATTTTACATAAGACCAATATTTTAGAAAATTTAACTTGACATATTATTTTTACGAAACATTTTGTTGTGAAATGATTATTTCGAAAATTAGGAATGATTTTTATTCATAAAATGAATTTCAGCAAATTATTTTTTTGACCAAGTAAAAATAATTGTAGAAAATTTTTGTAAATACCATTTTAGAAGAAAATATTTAAATCTATAATTTATATTCTATACATTGTTACGCTAAGTGTCTTATTTTTAAAAATAATAATCAAAAATTGAAAAATTACCTTTTTGAGCGAATTTTCAACCCTGATTCGGACTTGAAGGGGCTAAGTTATCAAAACCAAATTTTACACAAATAATTTTCATATTATAAAATACAAAATTGCCGGGTTTTGGAAGTTTATATATTTTTTTTCGAATATTTTTTAAAACTACTCGATTAAAACTATTCGAGTAAAAAACACTATTCGGTTGTATAAAACCAATTTGAATACTTATTCGATAGTTTAAAATATTCGAAAATGCCCATCACTAATTAATACCTTCTCAGCTTCGCATCGAAGCTAAAATTTGAATTACTTCATACTGTTAAATTTAAGACAAAATAAATTTGAAAAATATATAGCTCTCACAAAGAAAATAATGTTTAATTTTCCCAATCAAATCTTATTAATTTCATTGGATTGTGAATTTCACTGTAAATGGTTATATGATTATATAAATATTATAACTATAACAATTTATTATAAACAAATACCTAATAATAATAAACAATGAAACAGTAAAAGAACAATACTTCTTTGATGTTTTATTTTGTTACCTTATCAATTTTGAATGTAATAATGTAGTGATGCTAGGTCTACATTCTATTCTTTCGCGTCTAAGAGCATCCATGACTATGTAGTTGTTAATAATACATATAAATAAAAAAAGATTAATGTTGTGTATAAAAGTGCATTTTCTATATTTTTTTTTAATTTTAATTTTACAGGACGTTTTAAAAAATAATTATAATTATTTTTTATGTAATATTTATACAACTTAATAGTATCAAATCAAAAAACGACTACCACTAATCTTGTACTATTGTTTTTGATTGTCATTAAATCTATATTGTTAAAAAAAATAACAATACGTTAGAAATTTCTTAGAAAAAGAGTGAATATAATTAACTTTCTTGACATACATTTTTGACATTTATAAATCAATATTAAACCATTTAATTTTTTAAAAATGTGTCAAAAATCACTTTACTTTTTTGAAAGTTCTCAAAAAGTATAATTATACGATAGTACGTCATGAAAAACTGAACGTGAAAATGTTTCAGGTCTGATAGATAGCGTAGCATGTTCTGTTAAGTTTATTGGTAATCTTGTTCAGTGCTGTTGGAACGCATGTCCCTCCTCGTCACTACATTTCTTTTCCATATGTGTACCGTCTACTGGTTTGTATTTGCAGCCGCCAAGATCACCGTAACTACGCCGCCGATACCCCTCCACCTTACCTTGTCATAGTTTTAACGCGGTGCGACCTACTACGTTGGGGAGAAACAGCAGCAGCAGCAGGCAAACCATTCGACCAGGTTAACTGGTTTTTCAAACAGTTTTTTGTCGATCGCCGGGCAAGCGGTCGTCGGACGTTATAACCTTTTTTACTCGCTCTTAGATCTATCAATATTTTATGTGTTGATCGTTTTCGTCTGAACGTTAGCAAACAGAGTTAATTTCTTTGGCATAGTCTAATAACGGTTTTTGTTGGTTTACCATTTTTATTATTCAATTGTTGCAGTTTTGCCGGTGATTAGTGCGTATATTGTACTTGTAATTAACCGACCATTAACGCCATGTTGGGGTTTAGACATCGTTTTCGTCGCCGTCGTTAATAAATTGTCTAGACGTTGTGATTAGGGCGATAGTGTGTTACGTTATCTAATAGTTGTGATTGAAGAGAAGCAAAAATAAAAATGCTGTGTGCCGAAGAGATAGCTAGTAGCATAGACGAGCAGGACGCTGGAGCATTCAAGTCACCAATACGACGTCTCGGTTCGACTAGGAAAATTCTGTACTTCAACAGTAAGTTTACTTGTTACATAAATAGTTTTTTTTTGTGGTGTTTTTGTACTGTGTAAAATGTTAGGTAGAAATTTAGGGTCACAAATTGCAATAGGCTCGTGCGCATTTATTAACTACAGGTCTGCGGCCTTTATGTTCCTGTGAAATATAATACGGATACAGCATTCCTCTTAGAAAGCAATGACACACAATAATAGATTTCGGTGTAAAATCACAATGATGTTGCACTTCTCACAAAATATGTCTCGTCGGTTATTTCAATCTGAACGTTTTGCACCTTACGTTGTATTAAACAATTAATTGTGAGATAAAAATTATCTAACGTCTTTTTATTAAAGTAATTAGTTTTATTGTTGTATCCATTTTTATTTTTTTCGTTGCATTCTGAACACCAAGACTGTAAGTGAAGACCTTCGAACATACTCAAGGGATTTAGTCGGATTGCTTCTATTGTTTTAATACATTTTTAAAAGAATTAAATGTATACTCTGTCGTTTCATTTATACACAGTTTACATCTTTCAAATTAATTAAATATTTGATTAAATCATGATTGGTCATGGTATCTCGTATAATTAACTAGAGAAATTATCAGTGATTCATTGAATCAAACTGTACACGAGATACAGAAAATAGTTAATTTTCTCATGACGAGTGTACTCTTATCATGCAAGGTTAAAACATCAGTTAACAAGTTTTTTCTTCTTTACAACAACGTTAGGAATAAAGAAATTTAACATACTATTTATAACCAAATAAAAATAATGGGTTATTTCGTATAGTTACTCATTGTTCTCTGTACTATTTAATAAATAAAAAAAATCACACGATAAATACAGTAAGTACAGTATAGATTTTTTTCCATCTATATTATATTATATAGAATCTATATGCCATACATTACATTTGGCGAGTGTATGTGAAAATTAATTCTCATAACTAATATTTTTAATAAATTTTCGGTGAATAACTAACATATTATATTCTAGTTTTCGATAAAGTTTAAAAACTACAGTAAATAAGTATCAATGTAGATTTTTTAGTCAAATACCGTATTCTACTTATTTGGAACTACAATGCAATAATAACTACTAGGTTGAAATAATAGATTTAAAAAATAAGTGTTTTTATTCGTCTTAATAGTATCTTCAGTTTAATAAGACCAGAGACCCTAGTCTTGCGGTTTAAACATAAAAATATCAGACTTAAAGTTCATATATTAAAATTATTATTTCGTTTGTCTCATTCGAAAACAAATTTGTAGCACCTCTTGTTCACTAATAAATAAAACACTTATAAAATACTTATTGTCCGCCATAACATTTTCATCGTCTTACTTGTTTAATAGATTGAAATATTGAATTATTTTTATTCATATTTTTAACCCGAATTGAAAAAGTAATATTAAGTGGGCAATAAAAGTATTTCCTTGGTTTTGTCCAGTTTCATAGTGGATTATAATATCTGGACAGACCTAAGCTTAACACTATTGTTATTTTAGTTAACCCTTAAGTTGAATAATAACACATTGAATAACTTATCGCAATGAGCTAGGCTGACATTAGTCAGTAGTAACAAATAAAAATGTACAACTCATAAATTATTCATGTACACAAACAATAGTACACCAATGTTTTGTTGGCAGCTTAAACGTTAATAATTTAAAAGTAATGGCATTTAAAATGTCAATATAACTGAAAAATTAGAGTTATGATATTTTTAACGCTAATAATTACATAATAAATGTATGATACGTATAATACGTTGAAGGAAGTATCATTAAAATTCCTGTGTAAAGTTAGCGAACTATCATATTATTTAATTGATAATTATTTCATAACGGGGGAGGGTTCTTAATGAATTTTAGTGTCAAATATTAACAAGTTATAGAAATTTATATATATATATATATTATTGAAATGTAATAAGTGCACTATAAATGGTTTGAGGTTCCTTTATGTAATTTAAATGGATACAATTTTGGGAAAAAATCATATAACTTTGTAAATATGACATAAATCAATCAGTTAGAACATAATACATGTTATGTAATCATGATAGATTTTGAAGAATTAGATAATTTGTTGTTTAAATATCTTTAATTTAATCTTCATTAAATGGAATCTTTAAAGTATATTTTGCACTATAAGTGCATTTATTATTGGATTATTAAAATGAATGTAATTATGTATTATTATAATTATATATAATCATTACGTAATTATATTATCGAACAGTTTTTAAATTCTAAAATTTGTGTTAGCTAAAATTATAGATTTTAAGCATTAATTTACCTATACCTGAAGTATAGATCACTACAATAAAATGTCATCAACCGTTATTCTTATACTGGGTGTAAATAAATAAATATTGTGTAATGAAAGTTATAATAATGTATACCGAGTTAAATTAAAAGTATAAAAGTGTGTGTGTATATATATTTAATACTTTCGAGTTCTTCAGATTTAAATTGCGCAATTTATTAATTTTGTTTATTCCAAACAAGAATTAGTTTGACCTCTACTTTGACTTTTAACAACCCTTAGCGGAAATGAGATAAAAAAAATCAAATATAATGTTTTTTTCTTTTTCGATAAGGATTGTTTTGGGCTTTAGTGTGTAAAATCAAATCTGGTCGTTGCATAACATTATCCTTTTTAATCTATATAAATAATAATACGTGAATACATAAACTAACAGCAGGTTTTCATTGTCAAGGTATTAAACGACAATAGGATGGTGGGTATGATATTATCTGTCAAAACTTCTCAGGTACAAATAATACACAATAGAATATTATCATTGATTTACCATTTACAGCCAAGTTAAACTTGGTAGATCATCTTGGACAAAAACAGCTCTGCAGCTGTTAATAGAGAAAATATTAGGGTGTTGTAAACAATGGCGATGATAAAATTGTTCGTGGGCGAACGTTGACATTTTGACACAGGCGCTGTTTCTATTTATTGGACATTAAATTTTAAAATATAATATCCTCTTTATGTACAACGTTTTTTGCATTGCCTAATGTTTTTGCCACAAAAGACACTTATAAAATTTCTTATGAGATACTGTAAGAATTGATAAATCTTGTTATATAAAACCGAAAAACGAATAAAATTTATAAATTTTATTCTATTTTACGACTAAAAACCAATTTTTCACACAATAGAGATGTACACTGATAGAAATTAACATAACTGTAATCAATGTTTTGTTATTTCTCAATAAATTGTGCTATGGTTGAAGTACCACATTTTAACCTAATTTTATTTATGTCAAAGATGATTTTGAGTCTTAAGAGTTTGTTGTACGTAATACAAGTAACTTAATTTTCGTCTACTTTCCAGCTACAGGTAGGTGCTAATAGTTTTTCTAGAATATACTTTTTAGGGTCATAGTTCTACCGAGTTGTGTGATCAACACACATCACCAAGCACGCAAAGAATGGCCGTCGGCGAATGTATAGATAACATGAAATACTTTTTGCCGGTATTTGAAAATATGCGGTGGCATTAGAGGACACTGCCACCGATGCTGAGATTGTTGTTGTCATTTTACATTGTGTTTTCGTTATTATATATATCTCGGTGTAGTACTTCAATGAACGTAAACAAAAAGAAAAATAAATACAAAAAAAAAAATAGTGATTCGACATAAGTCAAAAAATTTCACATACAAATATTGACACAATCGTATCGTTGATATAGTGTCGACAATAATTACTTGGAATTGAACGGATATGCAAAAATCGCGTGTAAGACTAAACCCTTTGAATTTGTACATGATATTTCTTTACTACAAACTGATATGGTGTTTTATTAGTAGCGAGCAGATGTTCAATATATGTTTGTATATCCTTTCGTCGACTATAATGTATCTACTATGATATTTTCGAGTTAACATATTACTGAAAGACCACCACAACCATCAGGTTACCATATGGCCACCGATAGTGTTTAAAATGTTAGAAGTATAATTAATCATTTAAAACAGTCCAATGAAAAGTCGAAAATACATAGCAATGATGATCTAGTTACAGTAGTGAAACTTGTATTATATTATTGATATCATGTACTAAAATTTACTACTCAATAACTGTTTATTTAAATATATGATAATAACAATTGCGGTGATCGTAATGGTTAAATTTATTATAATTATATTACCTCTAGTATCTAAACCCATTTTATTATCTTTTTTGAGAATCATATGTAGAGAAGAATATGAATAAACATTTGCTTCTCCCAATCACAGATATGCTAATCTCGGCTAATCCTAATTATATATATATTGTTTTGATAGAATAAAATCGCACATAGCTTTCACCTTAGTTGAGACACTATTAACCTGATCAAAAGAAATATTAACTTAAGTTCATATTTCATTAAGCCTTACAAAAATATTTATAAATTAAAAAGAAGTATATTCTAATCAATGATTATGTCAAATAATTTTGAATGTAATGATAGTTTTTTGAGTAAGCTAGTCAAAAATAATTATAAAAATGTGATCTTGATATATATGATAGCGTATGTAAAATTAAAACATTAATTTCACTTGCAAATTAAAAGTGCCATCTCGTATTAAAACCACACCAACGACAAAACCAATCACGGCATGTTGTTTCAACAACATTTCTATTAACTTTTTTTAACTCTCGGTGCGCTTTAGTCGCCATTTAAATGATAACACTTCCCGCAAATATTTGCCACAAAATCAGACAACTGAAAGTATTTGACATCTAAATAAAATCAGTATCATGTCATAACGGTTGGTTTACCATATGTAAAAGTCGACCAGCACTTGCTGCTGAAGTCATCTATTCACAAACAGCGAAAACTTAGTAGCGCGCCTAATATTTTGTACGAAAAAAACATTTAGAAATGATTATTGCTATAAATTTGACAACAAAAGAAAGAGAACTCATTTAGCCTTATGGGATTTTATAGGTCTAATGATGCTTCACAACTTTTTAGTTATTTTTTTATCGACTACTTT